GTTTTGTAACTAAATTCCGAGACTTGATACATTCAGTGGTGAAGCTCTCGCTCACTCCCTCCACGTCACTACTTTCGTGTAAACCCATTCCTCCAGACCTTCACGGCCATTGAACCTCCCAAAGCCACTTTGCTTGACGCCTCCATGCGGCAAAGCGGCTTCGTCGTGAACACTCATGCTGTTGATATGCACTGCGCCGGTCTCTATCGCCTTTGCGATCCTCAACCCTCGCTTGAGGTCTTCGGTGTAGACGGCCGACGACAGGCCATACATTGTGTCGTTGGCGATCTGAAGCGCTTCCTCGTCACTGCTCACACTGAAAAGACTCACAGATGGGCCGAAGGACTCGGTGTAATATATGTCCATGTCTGGCTTGATGTTGTCGATCACCACAGGCTTCATTTTGGCGACATCGTCACTGAATTGCTCATCGCCGTGAATCACTCGGGCGCCTTTGGATATGGCATCGGCAATCATTCTCTTGTTCTTCTGCACGGGAAGCTTGCTGACCAAGTTCAATGGCTCGCCGTGGTACAGTTGGTCGATGGTTTTACTGAGGATGTCTCTAAATTCGTCCACCACTTTCTCATGCACAATAATCCGCTCCGTTGCCATACAAGCCTGGCCGCCGTGGATGAAAGCCCCCTGAGCGCAGCCAAGTGCAGCCTTGTGAAGATCCGCGTCTTCGCAGACAATAGTTGGCGCCTTCCCTCCGAGTTCCATGAGCACTGGTTTGAGATGTTTGCCGGCCAGGGTCGCCACAATAGCACCAACTGCTGACGAGCCAGTGAAGTTCACCTTCTTCACATTTGGATGCGAAATTAAGGCCCTCGTAATCTCCGAGGCATCTGAGGGCTGGTGGATGATGGTATTGAGACATCCGGCGGGAAGTCCAGCCTCATGGAACGCACTGGCAATTGCCCAGTAGATAGCTGGGGCAGCCTCAGGTCCTTTGAGGATCACCGTGTTCCCTGCTGCCAGAGGCATGACCAACGCGCGGACACCTAGGATGCATGGTGCATTCCAGGGAGCGATTCCTAGAGCCACACCATATGGCACTCGATACACCAGTCCTTCCATTCCCTCTTCTTCAAGAGTAGGTATGAAGCCATTCACGTTCTGAATGAGCCCTGCCACGCTTTTGCAGCATTGAATCGCCAGTTCGTGGTCCTTGGCGAACGCTTTCGCGGTGGCTCCAGTCTCGTTGCTGGTATAGTGAAAGAGTTCGTTCTTCCGCCGCTCTAGAATAGCTACCGCACGGAGAATAATATCTCTTCGTTCGTTGGGCTTCGTTTCGAACCAGGCCGTAAATGCTTTCTGGCTCGATTCCACTGCAGCTTCCGCGTCTGTTATCGATGCCGTTGATGAATGCCAAAGAGTTTTGCCGGTAACAGGAGAGACGACTTCAAAAGTCCGCGAGGTTCTCACTTGGCGACCGTCAAGCCATAGGGGCACAGCGGTCGAGGAGTCCACTGTGAACTGAGTGAAATCATCAGGTGTGCCTCCACTACCCATGTTGAGTGGTCTTCTCGAATGATTGATTGATCGACAGATTGGTCTCTGAGTGCTCCTTCAGCCTAGTAGAGCTTTGCTTGTTTTGCTGGTGCACTGAAGAAGAAACCGGTGTCACTCAGGGCTCAAGCCCGTCATTGAAGAGGGTTTTGTCTGATACTAGTGAATACTTGTTGTGGAGCGTTTGATGCTCCCTGGTTCCCGGAGTACCGGTTCAAGCTCCCGCGGAGTGACATGACAGGTTGGAAGCATCTACTTCCGATTGAAACTCGGCTTTCGTGGAATATAGGCATTGTTTTGGAATCCCATGATCCCGGTGTTGCGGACGGGAGGTCGGGAAACTCGAAAATTGCCCGGCTCCACCCACAACAGCCTTCAGAGCCTCGTCCAGTGCATCTCACGAGGATTTATTATGTCCTGAATTGTTATCGTTGCTGCTGCTGTTTCGCTGTGAGTACTGATTTTCATTCGCAGCTGCGAGGACAGAATACTGTGACGGAAAGCCAGCATCCAGCCTACCCACTTCTAATCCTGCCATAATTCATCACTTACTATGGTACGTTCTGGCAGCCTCCTGTTCGTTGGAGATAATGTATTGACCAAAATCTCGCAGGCTCAGCAAATTGAAACCCCAGTTCTGATCGTGGGCGCAGGACCCGCCGGCCTCATCGCCGCACTCAGCCTCGCAAAACTTGGTATAGCCTGCACTTTGATGGAGAGAAATTTGGAAACAACTCGATTCCCCAAAATGAACATCACAAATTGCAGAACCATGGAAATGTTCAAGCGACTTGGAATTGACGAAAAGCTCAGGGAGATAGGTAAGACGCCCTTGGGCCCTGAGCCGACTGCACCTACACGCTGTTGATCTCGATAGGGGTGGCAACCGAATACTCGTTTGATTCACTCTTCAGCTCTGGTCTTTCGGAAGGTGGCGAGGTCATCACGAAATGGGTACGTATCCTTGACCGAATAGGAACCGCCAGTTGATCAATGATAGTCAATGCCCTCTCCTGACCAGTGGCGTGAAAGGGTCAAACGGCAGAACGACGGCACTCAACCCCGAGAACCCTATCAGCGCTGCTCGCAAGCTGTTTTCGAGAAGGCCTTTAAGCCATTGATCCAGGAGCAGTCGTTGGTAACTTCGTATTTCGGCCACAAATTTGAATCTCTCCATGAAAAAGACGACTATGTCTTCTCACGGTTCTCGGTACTCGGATTGTCCGAGGAGGTTGTGGTGAAGAGCAAGTATGTGATAGGTTGTGATGGTGCTGGCAGCCGCGTAAGGCAAAGCATCGGCGGGAGCCTTGTTGGAGGTCCAATGTAAGTATCTCAACTCATTTGGTTCAACCGGGGACTAACACGGAGTCTCAAGCTCTGCAGCATTTTACCTTGTACACTTCAGATCCACCGATCTGGCCCGACTTCGAAAATGTGGACAATTCTGGCACATATTTTTCACTAGCGGAGCTGCAGTGATCGCCCAAAACGAGATTGACACTTGGACCGTCCACAAACCCATTGCGTTGGACGTTGACCACACCAAGTTGGACCCTTACGAGACCATCGCGGAGGTTTTGGGTGGCTCGACTGGCACTCCTTATCCCATCAAGGTGGATGAAATCCTGGTCACAAGCTCCTGGCGTCCCAACATCTGCATCGCCGACAGGTACCGCTCCACTGGTGGAAGAATATTCTTAAGCGGCGATTCAGCACATCAGAATATTCCGACCGGTGGCTATGGATACAACACTGCAGTGGGAGACAGCGTCGATCTCGCATGGAAACTTGCCGCTGTGTTGTCTGGATGGGGAGGGAAGTATCTTCTTGACTCGTATGAGATCGAACGGCGTCCTGTCGCTGTGCGAAATATCGAGTGCTCGGGGTTACATCGTCAAACCCACGCCACCTACGTGGAATGGGTGAGGCAGGCCGGTCCACAGACGTTGTTCATGCAGACAGATCAAGGGCAAGAGCTCCGTCAACGCATACGCGACCATTTACAGCAGAATGATGGGGAGAACAAGTTCTTCGGGATTGAAATGGGTTACCGGTATAATCACTCACCCGTCGTGGTGCCCGACAATGAAGTGGATGAACCGATCTGGACGGCTGAAGATTACATTCCTTCGACTTGGCCAGGAGCACGACCTCCGCATGTTTTCCTCGCGGACAATGAGATAAGCATCTTCGACCTGTTCGGACCCGGGTTCTCGTTGGTTGATTTCACTCCCGACAGGAAATTCGTCGACGCGTTCGAAAGGGAGGGAATCTCGCAGAACATTCCCGTGCGCATGATCCACCTCCCACACGAGAAGCACGTCCGCAGGTTATGGGAGCGGGATGCTGTTCTTGTTCGACCCGACGACATGGTCGCCTGGCGCGCCAATGTCGATGGACTTGTACCCACGAACGTCGCTGCAATCCTCCGAATTTCGGCGGGTAGGGAAGTCTCGCTGGAGCTTGGGACGGCCGAAGCATTCCAGAAGGAACAGACGGCGTTTGTAAACAAGTCTGGGTTTACGGCGACCATTGGAAACGTCAAACAGGACAAGATTGAGAAGATGTCCGTGTGGCAGGCGGCTGTTTAGTCCTGCTAATCATAGTGTAATCCGGAGAGCTATTTTGTTTCCTGTCTTCCAAGGCTGACGTGGTGAGGGCGACCGTTCCAGCCGAGATTCGTCGGTTCGTAACCTAGGTTTTATGTCAGTATTGCAGGACTCTCGTGCGATAGAATGTGGTGGTGCAGTTCACCTGCATGAGGAGGTCAGACATAGGTATCATCTCAACGCTGACAATTTGCTCTTGAACCAAGAAAGAAGGCGTCATTGATAGGACTGGCGCAGACCAAGCACCCAGACAGCAGACATGCTATGATGATTGACCAATAGATGCATAGTGTGGGGGATCCGATGTGTTGGCACGACTGGAGCTGGTTACAAGGGACGAAACAAACTCATGCCGGCATTTTGGCTGCGACCGCGATTTGCCGTGTCGAGGCTGTGCGGCGTTGAACTTTCACCTGCCACGTTTCTCACTTCCAATCCAACTTCAATCTCTAAGCAGGTCCGCGTCTCCAAACCTGATCACAAATCAAATACCTTCATCTCTTTGGTCAAATGGCGCTACGCTGTCCTAAGACCCTGTTTTGAATGTCTCTTATTCGGTCCACTGCCAGGGTATTCGGTGCACAAGTCGATGTCATACCTGGGGGTCTCCTCTGACCATCAGCCACCCTAATCCACCCCTGCCTTAGCGAGGACTACGTTTCCTCGTCATGTCCAATCGGATTGCCCTTCAGTGGACAAGCACGGCCTCCTGCCGCACCCCAGACTAGATCATGTCGGCCGTTCCCCAGCTCTGGAGAGCCAAAGTCTACTCGGTATTAGACTCGTCTCTCCGTCTCGCCCGCATCTTTTTAGACACTTGATCAGTTCTCTGGATTTTGAGGGAGGATACTACAAACGAGGACTCATTATCCGTTCGACATGGATCAACCAGTCCCGGCCCAAGATGTTGCGTCCACACATGCAGGAAAAATGATCCGAGCTTGTGAAGGATGTAACAGGAAAAAGAACCGGTGTGATCGCCGGAAGCCCATGTGTGGACTGTGCCAGCGCACTGGCGCCCTCTGTGTATATCCATTGAAAAGAAAACAGCCAACGCCGAAGGTTGGAAAGGCTGAGCGACTCCCTTCGAGTGTCTCGAAACGCTTAACAGTTCATGATCTGCTCAGTCTCCTCAGCCCGGAGCTACGCCACAAGCTTCTGCCAACTTCGGAAATAGACGTGTTGTCTTTGTCGAATGGGATTGATCAAACTGCGACCGTTTCACCGAGCACTGCGCGGCGTCATGACTGCACATCGAGATCAGGACTCATAGAGACCCCTGCGCCAGACCTTGGCCCGGAGGCAGCTGGGTATCAGGCACACTCCGTGCCACGAGGCACACAGAATGCGGATCTTGATACCTGTACACAAGAGCTCCATCTCCCCGAGATGGATTTGTCCTCATTGGCGCAAACGTCTACCACGCCCAAACCCAGTGATCAACACTTCACCAACGCCGGTTTCCGAGACGTCGAGAAATTACCATCTGCTAGTGACCAAGTCAAGTTAGTTGATGTGTATTTCTCCCGTGTGCAAGCGTGGCTACCGCTCCTTCACCGTCCACGGTTCTATGCACGGTACATTGCGCCATCCCTAGCCCAAGGACAATCTCTTCAACTTGACACACTGCCCATGGAGGAACAATTGCTGTTCATGGGTATCTTTGCACTCGCCGCAAGGTACGTTGATACAGCACCCTTTGTCCATACTCCCCCGCCCCAGCGTGGAGAACGCTTTTTCGTCGACGCGCATCGGGTTTACGAAAAGCTGCGGCAATCTGGAGCCCCGCCTAGTATCATTCTCCTACAAGGATCTATACTCCTGGCATTTTATTGCTTTACCTCCGGTCCAACGGGGTTGACTTGGGGGCTTGTGTCTCGTTGTGTGGAGCTCTCATACGAGTTGGATCTAAACTCCATCGATGATGACCCAGACGATGCGTCCGACTCCAGCCCAGAAGAATGGATCACCAAAGAGGGGTTTCGGCGCGTCTGGTGGCTCGTTTGGGAGCTTGATACCTTCAACTCAACAACCTCACGACGACCATGTATGATCAACAAGAGACGTGTAACGGTACATCTGCCATGCTCAGATGAAGCCTGGTACGCTGGGACACCTATTCCTTCTGCCAAATTAATACCCGAAGCAAAGGACGCTTGGAAGAGCCTTGAGAATTGCGCCAACCAAGATGAAAGAGCATGGTACTTGGTGGTAAAGTACCTTTCGTCGATAGCACATGACCTAGCCCAACTGCCCGCAGGGGTGCTCTTGGAACAGAAACAGGAATTGGGACTGTCTCTCTGCTGCCTCCGACTTGCCCTTCCTCCCATATTTCATTTGAGGAGTAAACCATTTCCATTCGACAACACCAATTTTGCTCGTGGGAATTGGATCATTGCCTTGCATCTCATCCTTGCCGGCACGAAATTGACGATGTCGACAATCATCGAAGAGGGATCCCCAGGTAATAGCGAAGAGGTAGCCTCATCCAGCGCTTCGGCTTCAAAGGCGCGCCTTGACGACATTACATTGATAGTCAGCAATTGGCCTCCGGACTTTATTGCTGTGGCGCATCCCTTTATCGCTTGCACGATGATGCCAGTGTATTCGCCATCGAATTCGATGACGGCGACAAATCCTTCCTCTCTTCCCCGCGACCTCTCTAGATTAGTTCTGGCCCACTATGCCCGGGTATGGAAACTTGGAAGTGTCCTTGAGAACGTGAGGGATATGCTTCAACGGCCGGAGAAGCTGTCAGAAAACGAAGTTGAACTTGCACGCCGTTTCGCAGCCGTCTTCCCTCGCAAGACCACCAAGAGGACGTATAAAGAACATCGTCCGATTTGCTCATCAAACATCTCAGATGGCTCTTCATCGTCCTGTGAACCTTCACCCGAAAGCATCATTCGGAGGCACAATGTACTTCCCGATATTGATCAGCAGAGTTCTGATTCAAACCCTGAAGACACCAGCGAGACGATACAGAATCCATCTTCCATGCGTCCGGCCGATGGTGAAGACTTCAATGTCTTTACACTCGACTCATCAATTGCAGAGAGGGACTGGCAGGCCGAGCTTGACTATTTTAGTGCACCACTCGATCCATTCGTAAGCGACCCGATTACTCTGCTGTGAGAGTCTACTACCCGGACCTGCACCTCGTTGTCTCAGAGCCCCATCAGAGCTGCTCAGCCATGATGACGATGTCTTGTATATGATAGGTATAGCAAACTACGTGGAACATTCGTCTCGATATCTCAGACCTCTAAAGCCCTTAAGCGAGAGGCTGGGGTGTCGGACTGAGCAAAACCTGATCATCAAACTGAGGCAAGGACGGGCCCAGGCCCGAGAATGCCTGACCTGGCATCGCATAAACCCGTCCAGTCTGGCCCACGCCCAGTCGGCGACTATACCTGAAGGAGCATTTCCCTGCAACAACATCTCCAGAACAGAGATCAATCTTCTCGGAACACAGTGGGGTTTTATAGTGGGGATAAAAATCAGGAAGGGCATCAGTCATTGTTGTCTCCGGTCAGCATGTGGCTTCAGACTAGAGACGCAGTTTGTCCTCGGCGATTGTGTCCCGGGAGCCGGAGATCTCGAACTCCGGCCCCGAATCCATGTGCTTAGCAACCACCCGGATCCGCACTCAAGACACCATCACCGTTGATAACCGCAGACGACACATGTACCCCCAGTCTTTCGGGGAGACTTGTGAGAGACCGAGAGGACCCCTCGATGCAAGCTTTCATCCGCGGTGTCATGGCGTTTTGGAAAGCTGGGGTAGATTGTCTCATGCGGAATGAAGGGCATGCTTATACTCGGTACAATTCCCCATGTCACAGCACTGCATGAAGCATTTTGCTCAGAACTAGCTATACCACCGGAGAATCATGTCGCAGGGTTGCAGATCGTTGCGAATAGTAGCTTCGCGATCACGCGCGGCTGTGCGTTCATATGCTTCCCTCGCGACCCCTGCGACGCGGAAGTTGAACGTGCCCATCGACTTTGGCAAGACTCCTCTTCTGCACCATTCCTCAAAGACGATTCCACAGACGCCTGAGCTACCACAAGGCGGCTCTACAACACGTCTAAATCTCTGTCAGGCGGTCAACGAGGGGCTCAGAACTGCTTTGAGGGAAGACAACAAAGTGCTCTGTTTTGGCGAGGATGTCGCGTTTGGTGGTGTCTTTCGGTGCACGGTGAATCTGCAGTCTGAGTTTGGGCCGGACAGAGTCTTCAACACACCCATCACCGAACAGGGGATTGTGGGCGCTGCGATTGGGATGGCTGCTGAGGGTGCGAAACCGGTGGTCGAGATCCAGTTTGCGGATTACGTCTTTCCAGCCTTTGACCAAATCGTGAATGAGGCTTCAAAGTTTCGATATCGGGAGGGTTCGACTGGTGCCAACTTGGCGGGCATGGTGATCAGAATGCCCTGTGGTGGTGTGGGACATGGTGCTTTGTGAGTCTTGCCTGTCGAGGTTTGACCTTTCGTGCGAAAACATGCTAACTCTTTCCACCATTAGATATCACACTCAATCCCCTGAGTCACTCTTTTGCCACGTACCAGGTTTCAAAGTCGTCGTTCCGCGGTCACCCTCTCAAGCGAAAGGTCTTCTTCTCTCGGCTATCCTCGAGTCCAAAGATCCGGTGATTTTCATGGAACCAAAGATCCTGTACCGCGCCGCGGTCGAGGAAGTTCCGGATGAACTTTATACACTTCCACTGTGTAAAGCTGAGGTGCTGAAGCCCGGTGCTGACCTGACAATCATCTCTTATGGGCGACCACTGTACAACTGTCTTGCAGCCATTGAGGCGGCGGAGAAGACTGCACCGGGGACGAGCATTGAGCTGATTGATCTCCGGACGATATATCCTTGGGATCGAGAGACTATCCTGAACAGCGTGCGAAAGACGGGGCGTGCCATTGTCGTCCACGAGAGCATGGTGAATTATGGCGTTGGCTCGGAGATCGCTGCAACGATTCAGGAGCAGGCACTCTTGTCTCTTGAGGCGCCGGTGAAACGACTCGGTGGTTTCACGACACATACGGGATTGGCGTGGGAGAAGTTCATTTTCCCCGACATCACGAGTGAGTTTGCTGTTCCAACGTCTATCTGTGATTTTGGTTTCTGACATCAACAGGGATATACGATGGCATCCTGGAGGTCTTGGAGTATTGAGCGGGTGGAGTAGATTGTATTGTATTGATTGAGAGAGTGAACAAAAAGAAACAATGGATCTCTGGCATAGCAGCACCGGGTTGTGTACAGGTTTCTGGCGTTTGTCATGTCTATTCATTCGCAACCTTTAATTCATTTTATTACACTACATGCAGCCCTTTAACCTTTTGACCTTGTGACCGACCTTGTAACTTGAAGAGATTAACTACAGCCCTTTCAGACCACCTTCATAGTCGTCGGCGTCATACTCCTCGGGGTATTTCTCCATCAGACGCCTGAGTTCGCGTCTCTGCGCCTCCTGCTCCTCGGAATACTCTGCGTAGACGTCGTCAAAGACGGAGCTAAGGGGGGGCTTCTTCTCCCTCTCGGCGGCCTTGAGCTCGGTCAGGATGTCGCGGCGGATCTGCGTCCGGGTCTGCTTGTCCAGCTCGTCGCTCCAGAGGCCCTTGTTCTCGAGCCACTTCTTGAGGCGGGCGATCGGGTTGTCGCGCGTCTTCCACGGGTCCACCTCGGCCTGGGAACGGTACGCGAAGCTGTCGTCGCTGGTGCTGTGGTGCGAGATCCGGTAGCTCATCATCTCGAGGAGGACGGGGCGGCCGCCGTCACGCAGGGCGCGGCGTCGCGCCTCCTTCGTCGCTTCGTACACGGCGAAGATGTCCGTGCCGTCGACACGGAGCGTCTCGATCCCGTACCCGATCCCGCGGCTCGCGATCCCGTCGCCGCGGTACTGCTCCGTCGTCGGCGTCGAGATGGCGAACCCGTTGTTCCGGCAGATGAAGATGACGGGCGCCTCGCGCACCGCCGCCATGTTGAGCGCCCCGTGGAAGTCGCCCTCGCTGGCCGCGCCGTCGCCAAAGTACGCCACCGCCACCCGGGGCGATTGGGTGCCGCTCTCGCGATCCGCCAGTTTCATGGCATAACCAGCGCCCATGGCGTGGGGGATCTGAGTCCCGAGCGTCGACGCGACGGCGTGCTGGATTGTATCTCTTCGAATCAGCCCCCCTTGCCCATCCATAACTTGCTAGCGCCACATCTTTCCATGTTCATCGCTGGAAAAAAAAAACCCCTCTGGGTAAAAACTCACCACTCCAGTCTTCAACCTCCCGCTATAATGGCAGGGCATGTTCCGCCCTTTTCCCGGGTCGTTCTTGTTATGCAACAACTGGCTCATAAAGTCCTTGAGCGTGTACCCGCGCTGCTTGAACACGCCCGTCTCGCGGTACTGGCAGGTGATGATGTCGTCGGGGCCGAGCGCCGCCGCAGAGCCGACCATGATGCCTTCTTCGCCGGCTGAGACCTGTAGAGTGCAAGCAAGGGGGTAAGTAAGTATACGTCTATCTCTTCTCTGACGCCACCTGGGTAGCTAGCTGGGAGAAGTCGTTGGGATGGATTTCACTGTACCATGTAGAAACTCAGACGGCCCTGTCTTTGCGCTTCGGACATGATCGTGTCTAAGATGTTGACTGTATCTCCATCAGCATCATCACATCGTCATCATAGCCTCACTGCTACACCTCCAACATTGGGGGGGGAGAGAATTCTCACCAGTCAACATATTCTTATACCACTCCAGAACCTGTTCGTCCGCCACGTCGGGAGGCGCGCGATTCTCGTCCTGCACTTTCCCCTCGGCGTTCATGACGCGGTACGTCGCGATGGGCGGCAACGACTGCGGCACCAGAAAGTCCATCTTGGTGCTGAGCGGACTGCCCGTCGCGCCTGGGAAGCGGGGCCTGTATCCGACGGGATCGAGCTGCCGTCAGTCTTTGATACCACAGAGAGGACATATTCTCCTAAAGAATGTCTCTTCTCGAATGCGCGCGCGGATAGACATGGGATATGGGTACGGGGTATACTGACGAGGTCGAAATCTCTCCCAGCGTGACTGTCGAGTTCCATCTCGTAATGACGCGTCGAGTGCTCGTCGACGACGACGACGACGCGATAGCCCTTCGCCCTGTACTTCGAAGCCACATTTTTTTGGTTGTGGTTATGTCGTGTTCGACCGTATGGGATGGGGGAGGTTCTACGGATTCTTTCCCTTCAAATCCCCAGCCTGGGCTGAGGTGGAATGAAATGAAATATGATATCAGCTCTGCTAACTTACCCAGGTAAAGTGAAGCCAAACTGTTCTGCCACTAGTAGAAAGACTACTTACTCCTCCTCATCTACTTACTTCCTACAAGATGATCTGCCGAAGTAAACACAGAACCCAGCTCGAAAACGGGGCCAAAGGGGACTTGGAGCGAGCGAGCGGTTATCAACGGCAACGAGGACCTGCATTAGCTAGAAACACCCTTGTCACTTGCATACACGAGTACGAGTAATCAATCAGTCAGGTTCGTAGAGTTGTCTGTGAAGGGAGGTCAGATACTGGGGAAGCCCGCAGTATGATTACCCTTTTCGATCGGATCGGTGAAGTGAGCCGTACAATTGCCGAGTCGGGAAATGAATGATTGGTTCACGGAAGTGGGGATTTTCGGAGCACCGAGATATCCTATTGGTGCGGAGGAACGAATGACTCCGGGTTCCCCTTAACTCGTATTATCCGGAGGAGTAAGACACACCACACATGCCACGATACGAGTAATGACTACTGACACCCAGGGGGAAATGTAAAAGAAAAACCCCATTAGCGGATCACACCTAGCCTCTCAAGCCAATCATCTATCTCGTCCGGCAGAATGAGACTTAGATAAGCCGGTAACAGTCTCGTTTGGGAGGTATTCCATAGCTCGGGCCGAAGGTGACCTTCACACCCTGAATGAGTTCCCCGTACACCGAGCGAACTCATTTTCAGGGACCTGCTTGTCATCGTGGATAGCTGCTAGACTTGGATTTCCCAGACACAAGCGAAATGCAAGAGGGGACAATGGGGCCGCAAGCAACCGCGGAGAACCGCCAGGCCCATTGTCCCTGGTCTGCGGAATCAGTAATGGCATGGACATTGGTGGAGCCAAAAAGCTGATAATACGATTGCAATACAGTTCACCAAAGCATTGACTCACCTTGAGTACCTTTTTTCTTTCTCGAGGACATTCCAGATAGTATGAACGGCGTGCTGGTAAGAGGACTTGTGCGTCAAAGTCAACGGCTGGCTGGGGCAGCAGCGCACTGCCCAAACAGACAGTCCTTCCACTCTTCACCGTCATGGCGCGTCGTCAGGCCATATCTCCTCGCAGACATAGGCGAAGGTAAGAACCGACATGGACCTTTCCTCAACGGTGTGATAACAAAGATAGGAATCACGGAGTGTCAAATCATCAATTGGTCGGTCAAACCAGGAGACCATGTTGCACAGTTCGATCCCATATGTGAAGTCCAGTCGGACAAGGCAACCGTAGAGGTGTGTGCTTGTGACGATCTTGTCCTTCGGTGCGTCAGCCAGAATACTTACCGGAACAGATTACCTCGCGGTTTGATGGCGTGGTCAAGGCTCTGCATTATGAACAGGATGAAGTTGCCATCGTCGGCAAGGTGTGTTGTGACTGCTTGCGAGGACTCGAGCCTTGGTCATGCTAACCTGACGTGAAAGCCGCTGTTGGATATGGATATTGCCGACGAAATAGCTGGGGATTCGGTCCTCGCTGAGGTCCCTGTCGAGCAAGAATCGACGGACATTGAACAGGAGCCAGGGAAGGGAATCATGACAGGCCAGATTGACCAGCCCCCATCGCCACTCGAGTCACACTCAGACGCACAGGCCCCGTCGCGGATCTCGCTCGAACCCGCCACAGGACAGAACACTCCCTCCAGAGCTCCGGCACTTCTGACTCCGGCTGTGCGACATCTGCTCAAACAGGCAGGAATCGACGTGAACGATGTTGAAGGAACTGGTAGAGATGGACGCATCACAAAAGACGATGTCCAACGCTACATTCAGTCGCAGTCAAACTCTGGTCGATCTCAACCCACACCACCTGTTGTTGCTCCGCCGTCGAAAAAGGCAGCAGAAGACAAGGTGGTCTCGTTCACCCCGACAGAGAAGCACATGTTCAAAGTCATGACACAGTCTCTCACAATCCCTCACTTCCTCTATACCCACAGTGTCGATGTCACATCGATCAACCTTCTCCGCCGGAAATTCAACACGACCTCGACCCTCTCATCCGCACTTTTGCCACCAGACGTTCCTGTTTCGAAGCTCACAGTCCTTCCGTTCATCTTGAAGGCATTGTCGCAGGCATTTTCACGGTTCCCCAAGCTCAACGCCCATCTAGACACAACCACCAACCCATCGAACCCTCAACTAGTTCTCAGATCATCTCACAATTTCGGGATTGCCGTGGATACACCGCACGGCCTCCTAGTCCCCGTGGTCAAGAATGTCCAGAATCACTCCATCATCTCACTGGCTGCGGAAATCAAGCGATTGAGCGATCTCGCACAAGCCGGACGCCTTGCACCCGAAGACTTCAAAGATGCCACGTTCACCATCAGCAATATTGGGAGTATCGGTGGGAGCGCCGTGGCACCCGTGATTGTGGCACCCATGGTAGGAATTCTGGGGGTTGGCAGAGCTCAAGGCGTCCCAGTCTTCACAACAGACAAGCATGGTGGTGAACACATTATCAAGCAGGAGCAGGTGGTGTTGAGTTGGAGTGCTGACCACCGGGTTCTTGATGGCGCAACTGTCGCCAAAGCCGCCGAGGTTGTGGGTACTCTGATACAAAATGCCGAGAGCCTGGGACTGGCATTGCAATGAGGAAGGCCTGGTATACTAAACACGACATTGTAAAGCACACCATCCACGATCGCACAGATAGCTCAACTGGCGGACTAGTGTCTCGGATATTTCCATTCTGTCGGTCGCTTGGATGACACGGATACTCTGCCTGTTGCCTCTGTCAAATTAATTTGCGTCTATCCTAGAGGGTTTCATCTCGCATTGGATCTCGAGCCCAAAAGAAGGTATGGGCGCCTATTGCTGTTAAGCATCTAGTACAGTATGTACCTACTATACCGGCGGTGTTTGGCTGGGCCGGATAACTCTGAGAGGGCAAAATGGGCGAATAGAAACGCCTGGCGTCGAGGGTTGAATTGGATGACAACGGTCGCTTAGCGATGTCCGCCTCGTGGGCTTCACCAACTCTGCCTACCGAGTCTCAAAATTAATAGAGTTTGTTTGTTGGGGAAGCAAAACAGACAAATATGCCTGAAGCCCCGCTCATCGCAAGAGACATGGCCAAGTGTCCACAAGCAACATGGGTTTGCCTCGGCCAATGGCTTCAAACCCATCAACCTGTAGTAAAGTGATGCAGTTAGCTATTGTTGTAACCCAACACCGGCAGGACGAGAATGAGCAGTGGTGGTGGTGGGTTGTTCTCTTCGTACCCGGTACTCAGTCAGAACCCCACATGTTCAATTGGAGATATTGGAGTAACGTCCTCTCACAATCCCCATATCTTGGAGTAATTAATGAGCAGGAAGATTCGAACTGCGGGTAGATGCGTTCAAGAGCGAGAGACACTTCACTTTGGTATCGAGCAAGAGGTCTGATCAAGCTGCAAATACCAGAAAATGGCCACCAACGGCGATGCAAAACATCCAGCAAGCCTTACTCGTCTCGCAGTAAGACGGATTCGCCGAATTGCCACGGAAGAACTGTCGCAGGAGCTGTATGACAAGGCAACTTTCTGCATCATCGATTGGTTTGGTGCCGTACACACTGGCTTGTTGCTGCCATGGAAAGATGCGCTGCTAAAGTATGCGAGACTGAATCGTGGGAGCACAGAAGCATATGCATGGGGCATCGGTGGAGATGTCTCGACTGAGACCGCGGCCTTTGTTAATGCAACTTTAGCCCATAGGTGAGTCTGTCGAACGTGACCCTGGACCAGGCTCTGCTCACTTTGAGCGATTGTTGGATCCGGATACATACTGACAAACTAAAGTGCAATCCGAGATGACATGCATCTTGAGGCTTGCTCACATATCGGCTCGATGGTGATTTCAGCAACTCTAGCCCTAGCCCAGCGTGACAAATGGTCTGGAGAGCAGCTACTGAGGGCCGTCATTGCTGGTTATGAGATGGCCGCACTTCTTGGAACAGCGATCCGTCGTGGAGGGACTTTCAATGCGCACCTTCGTCCCAGTGGCCTCATTGGCGCCTTTGGAGTCGCAGCAGCGGCAATCGCAGCGGAAGGCGTGGACGAAACTATCGCCGTAAATGCGCTCGGCTTTGCTCTCAGTATGGCTGCTGGTACCAACGAATGGGCCTGGAGTGGAGGCACCGAGATCTTCGTGGAAATGGGCGTGGCCAGCCGCTCTGGCATTGCAAGCTTCGACCTGGCCAATGCTGGCTTCGAAAGTAGCGAAACCGCTCTTGAAGGCAAAGATGGCTTCTTCAACGCAGTCGGATCTGGTGCTGCTGGAGGGAAAGATTTCAAAGATTGGCTGGAGAAATCCCCCCTCGGCCAAGGCATCCTGGACGTGCGTTTCAAACCAGTGGCCGGATGCAACTATGCCCAGTCGACTTCTGCCGTGGCAGTTCGGATATTTCAGAAGCATAAGCTAGGTGAGATTGACCGCATCAAAATCACCGCCACCTCGCAAGCAGTCAAGTATCCAGGATGTAACAACGCTGGACCATTGAACACTATCCAAAACACCAAGATGAGCATCCAGTTCGGAGTATGCGCCGCCCTCACTTTTGGGAAATTGGACGAGGATATCTTCAAGCTGGCCGACGATAAGCGAGTCAACAACCTCATAGCAAAATGTGAGCTTAGCTCGAGCCCCGAGTTTGACAAGGCGTATGAGCGGGGTCTTCAGCCGGCAATGGTGGAGGTCACGCTGGTGGATGGCACAGTACTTCGAGAGAGTGTAGAGGACGTGCCATGGCTGACCGAGAGCGACGTTGAAACTCGTTCCATTTCAGAGCAAGAGCGAGACATTTCCAAGGATGCAGCAAAGGTTGTCGAGGCGTGCAAGGGATTGCGAGGTCTTCCCCAGTGCAATGCGCTTCTTGTGAAGCACGGTTAACTGGTGGTTGGGAGTTGACTAGACCACGCATACGCTGGCTCGATTTAGCCTGAGTACTCAAGAATCAACTCCAGGAGTGTGTAACGAACCAGCCAAAAGGAGTCATAAGATATCAACACCATGTTGCGCAAATTGCCATTTCGAAAGTGCGTGCGAGGCGCATGTCCTGAAGAGGTTGTAGGCCAGAGAGTGGGACAGGGCGGCGTCATCATCTTCCCTTGAATGGCTTAGCCAACTATCGCCGCTTTTGCAACAGTAGTCTTCTCGCCGTCCACGTGCCATGCCTACTCGCAATAATTTTTGACCCCGACTTCTCCGTCTCCAGATATTTCTTTTCTCGCATACTTCTACTGTCTCAAGCATTTCTGTGTTGCCGCTGATGACTGTCACTGCCACGATGACGAGCACGGCGCCTGAAGAGCCTGAAGACTCCTCGAATACCAGAGTCTATGTCTCAGGTCTGCCGCCGTCCATGACCAAGGAGCAACTGCGGTTGCATTTTGCTGGAAAGTATACCGTGACAGATGCTCATGTCGTCCCAGACCGCCGCATAGGTTTTGTGGGGTTTTCAAATCATGAACAGGCTAAAAGCGCAGTCCAGTACTTCGACAAATCTTTCATTCGCATGTCAAAGATCGCCGTAGCCCTAGCAAAACCCGTCCATGTCAAACGCAATGAAAAAGGCCAGGCGCTTCCTGTCCCCGACCGTTCTTCGAGAAAGAGAAAACGTGATCACCGAGATGATGGTCAAGAAATCCAACGCATTCCGATGAGACAGCCCCAAAAAACTACAGCCGTGGCATCAGACACGACCACACCCATACAAGCAGTCTCAAAAGAGATGGACGGTTCCTCAGATGAGGCTACTTCAGAAAAGGAGCAGGAAGATGATCCTGCGAAAGAAGCACCCGCATCCGACACTGATTGGCTGCGTGGCAAAACAAGCAGGACACTGGGTTTGCTCGAGGACGCTGAAGACGTCAACGTCCACCCAGACCCTTCTGACAATAGTGGCGGAGAACCCAGTGCTGGAGGATTAGTGGATAGTGTCCAAGCCAACGAAGACAGAGTAGATGGAGGAGATGATCGGGAGCCGGAACATCACCAACGGGTGTCAGTGCCGAATGCCCGACTATTTATCAGGAATCTTCCATTTGACACCCACGAAGACGATCTTCGGAAAGTCTTCGCACCGTACGGCAGAATCTCAGAAGTAAGTGGATATCCTTTTCCTACTTCCATCCACCATGCATTTGTGATGATTTCCTGATAGGGACAGCTTATGCTCTGCATATGATTCGAACTGGGAAAGAGTATTTTAGTAGATGCCTCTCACTTCTGACACTTTTTCTTTCACAACATTTCTTCCTTATCCCCATCATCGCTATCGCTAATTCCTGGACAGATTCATTTAGTGACCGACACCAGAAAATCCACTGGAAAAGGTCTCGGTTATGTTCAATTTGTGGAGCCGGAGCACGCCGAGCGGGCACTGCTTGAACTCGACGCAAAGGACTTTATGGGCAGACTTATGCACATTCTACCATCTTCTGACAAGAAAATACAAAAGCTCAGTGAATTCGAAATCTCAAAATTACCTCTCAAACAGCAAAGAGCGCTGAAGCGGAAGAATGAGGCCTCAAGTTCGAGTTTCAGCTGGAATTCGCTCTATATGAACCCAGATGCCGTACTGGCATCAGTGGCCGACCGCCTGAAGGTCTCCAAAGCTGATCTGCTTGATCCTGCTTCAACTGATGCAGCCGTAAAGCAAGCCCATGCAGAGACAAGTGTGATCAACGAGACCAAAGAATACTTGAAGTCCAATGGACTGAATGTCAATGCCTTCAAAAACAAAACTCGTGATGAAAAAACAATTCTGCTGAAGAATTTTGCTTTTGGAACCACTGCAGAAGAACTCTCACAGATGCTTGGTCAATACGGCACGATAGAATCTCTCCTCTTTCCTCCGACCGGCACCATAGCTGTCGCTCGCTATCAGGAAAGCAGTCAAGCAGCTTTGGCTCTCAAGCAATTGGCGTATCGAAATTTGAGGGGCTCTATATTGTTTCTTGAGAAGGCACCCACGGGTCTCTGGGACGGTGCCGAGTCGATTAAGACTGACCCGCCCAATGCTGCTGGAGACGATGAGAAAGGTGGTGCTCTTGGTACTACATTTACAGTCTTTGTGCGCAATCTGAATTTCTCAACATCGAGCGTCCGATTAGCCGAAGCTTTCAAGCCACTGTCGGGCTTCCTCTCGGCAAGAGTGAAAACAAGGACAGATCCCAGCCGGCCAGGAGAGGTTCTCAGCATGGGCTTTGGCTTTGTCGAGTTCCGCACCAAGGCCCAAGCTGAAGCTGCAATCGCCACCATGAATGGCAGGCGGTTAGACGGATACGAGCTGCTGGTGCAGACGTCACAGAAGTCAACTGATCTGGGAGAAGAGCGACGGAAGGAGGACACGTCGAAGAAGCTCGACTCGGCAAGGACAAAGATCGTCATCAAAAACCTCCCCTTCGAAGCTACCAAGAAGGATATCCGCGCTCTGCTCGGTGCATATGGTCAGCTGCGCACGGTACGAATGCCCAAGAAATTTGACAACACAGCCCGAGGTTTTGCCTTTGCTGAATTTCTCACGGCTAAAGAGGCTGAGAACGCCATCGAGGCTCTGTCCAGCACCCACTTGCTTGGCAGGAGGCTTGTTCTGGACTTTGCAGAAGGTGAAATAATCGACCCAGAAACCGAGATCCAAGCCATGGAGAAGAAGACCCAGGGACATCAAGATACATTGACTCATCACAGGATGACAGGTTCGGCTCGGAAGAAGTTCAACGTTGGCGCAAGAGAAGATTTCGACCCTCTTTGAATGATCGGCGATCTAGGGGTTGGGAGCCTGCCCCTTGCAGAGCCTTCTCCCTCGCCTCCTCCAGCCCTCGGAACTCATCCATATATTCAGCTTCAGTCAAATCTAATGTGAATGCCAAACCCTTTGATTTTTCTCAATAATAGTCTCAGACAGATTTCACCATGATCGTGACCAGGAATTGAATCTACTCGTGCCGACACCGGTTGTTTTGCAGATCGGTGCGGCAACATCTCATTCCAAAGGCAGATTGGCCACCTTGCCGACCGCTGTCTGATTCGTCTGGCCATCATCTGTGCGCAGTATTCCCTTCTCACGAACACGCTGTTTTCGCCTCCTGCCCATGACTTTGACCACCGAAGCGTCGAGATCGAGGCTGTTTCCGCCCTGCTGACCTACCCTGATTAGGAAGCTGTCTATCCCTTGCGTTGGCCTCACGGCACCCGAGCCTGTGCAGCAAGGATTGCAAAGGGACGTTCACATTCGTGAAATTACCTGTCTTGCTTAGTCTCGGCTTTTGAACCAGTGGGATACCCAATGGCCGTGGGTTTACACGTCTGTCTGTCCGGCTGATGAATCGCAGGGTTGTGGCTGGCAGGTCCGATTGAAGACATGGGAGGAGATGGGTTAGATTGCACGAGCTTCTCCCGTGACATGGCGATTGTTATATGTTAACTCTGCTATTTCCTTTGCAGCATTCCCTCTTCTCATTCCAAAAGTCTTTTGTCCCTCTCGAACATTGTCTACCGCATTTTTCATTCTCGGTCTCGAGCATACTTGGGTAAGCATTGGGCGCCTCAAGCTCTGATGGAACGCGTACATTCCGGTGTGCCTTCACCTGTCTACCTTGGGGACGCAAGATCAGCAACTGAACGGCTCGCAGTCTCCTCGGGAAATGTTCAGCTACTCCCAGTCACGCATAAGGAGGGGATTGAAAACCAGTATCCCCTTCCTGGAACCGACACAGTTGGGGGACAGATACCTCGTTTTCCAATTCCGGCATTGAAGCTCGGCTCCAACGATGGATCGAATGGTGCATTTACTCCAAGAAGAAGACGACATGCGCTCAAGGCACACCGATCCAAACTGCTAGGCAATCCAGATCGCCCATATCTTCATCATCCGAAATACCTCGAATATAGGTCCCGACCAAGGCAGGACATTGGGAAAGATGGCAGACCAATTTGGCCGGACAATATCGAAGCTGCCTTTCAAGACGGTGAGCCAAACCGACGCCGCTGGTGGTTATACCAAGACTGACAAGAGACAGCCCTTGTACACATCAAGCCCATGGGTCGAAAGAAATGTTCACAGCGAGGAAAACCTTATGGGCGTAACATGCTCATTGCCGAGTGGATATACCGCGCAACAGGCCAGAAACGGGAGCGTAAACAAGTCTCCAGCCACATACAGGTCCTTGACAGATTTCTTCAAGGCATTCCAGAATGTATGTCTCTCTCTAAGTGCATCCAAGTGTTCAAGCTGATTTTTGTTTCAGGGGATCGGTTGATCAAGCCTGGTGATGACGACGACACGAACCCAGCAGAAGGTCACAAGTTTTATCACAACTCTATTGAGCACATGGTCAACGAGCAAAAGGCAAGAAGCAAGGCCGGTGATGCTCTGTGGGAGGATGAGCTCGAGGGCCACGCCGACTCATTTGTCTCTGGGACCGTACAAAGCGACATGACCATCGCAACACGCGTCGAACGACTGGATTTTGAAATGTGGGTGAGCTCGCCCGTCAACCACGAGACTGCCTTGCACTACTATACCGGGCAGAAACCCACGAAATTAATGCCCTTTCCCCTGGAGGAACTGGCCGAGTGGCGAACATCATTCCCACACCTCAAATCCCTGGTTGATCATGGAAAGCGCCTGGATAACTGCGACCTCATCCTCCTCAATGCAAGCTTCAAGCTGATGGAGGATTTCCCACCCCGACACTCCAAGCTGGGCATCTGTTTTGAACTCAAGTATCCAGATCTGCTCTGGAAAGAGTCCCAACAGGACGCCAGACTCATCAAGTGGTTCTGCGTCACCTTCATGTACCGTGATGGAGTGCTCATCACGGAGCCTACCCGCGAGGAATGCCAGACTCAGGGCCACTGCCGGATCCGGCCGTTCTTCCAGTCGAAATGGTGGGCGTCGACCTTCACCTCTCTCACCGAGGCGAGAAAAGTTGCCGAAGATTCCAGGGACCCAGAAGCCGTCGACCTCGCCACTAGCCAGTCTCGCGACTTCTTCCGCGGCCTGTCGATCATGCAAGAAATATACATGGTGCGTTCACCCCACAGTAGCGACTTTGACGATAGCTTGAGGCGGGAGACACGGAAGAGGACCGCGATCCTGCTGTGGCAGTTTTCGCAAGCGCCCATGGACAGCGTCGGATCGACGACATGGCAGACTCTGATCCCCCCACCAGATCGTCTGGCGACCAACAGCCCATTCCCGCACGGCGTGGAGATGAGCCTGCCGCCGCTCTCAATGGATTCTATCGTCGACTGTTCCCCCGGCATCAACTCGTTCGAGAACACCCAGCAGTTCCAGCCGGAACACGGCATGGCGTACGACCTGTATCCCAACACCATGGACGAAGAACTATGCCAGGACGGGTTCCTGACTTTGAAGCAAGAAAGCCCCCTCCACGACTTTAGCCACTTGCCGTCATCATTCGACATCGGTGCGAGCCATGACTTCTCCTCCCTCGAGGCCTCGATCCACGATACCTTCGATCTCTCCGGGCACACTGGTCTGTCGCCGTGGTCACCGCAGATCGACGAGCAGGACGAGGTCCTGCGCCACGCCTTACTCGCCGCGTCGGGCGTCGACCTCAACGCTGGAGCGCTTCCGACACATCATCCATCACCCACGGCGCGTGCACACGAGGAATACATCGCTCCGGACGGTCACCAGAGACACGCTGGCGTGGAGGGTCATTTTGTCTAGGACGTGTACTGCGCGCTCTGACTTTATTGCAGTATTTATCATCGTCTCGCCGACTGCGTTGCCGAACGAGATACACGCACGGCTCGGGGTATTGCTTTATGTCTTGAGACCTAGGCCCAACGAAGTGAGTATGTCCGACGAAGCGGCCAACCAACAAATCATCACAGGCAGAGGTCCACGGAGCGAAATGAGGGAAATTCAAGGACCTGGGCGCAGGCATAGTGGACAATGGACAATGGCCACTTAGCTAGGAAGTTAGTTATTGCTTTTTCAATGAAAGTTTTGTTCCTTCAAGTACCCACAGTACGTAGTAGGTAATAGTAGGTTGTAATAGTGCCTCGTCCTCAATAGAAATATCTGACCAGTACTTGTAGTAGGTCCTTCGACTCGAATCCCAACCCTAATCCCATCACATAATGTCCACGGAAACATGTCCATGTACATGTGCATTCCCTCCCTCCCTACAAACTATATTTTGCATTTTTGATTATGTATCTCTCGTGCTCCTGAAGTATTTCGTAAGCCTCGTGACATAACGCCGCACACTGTAACGCCACTCAGCGGCATTATATCACGGAGTGAGAGAGGTCCTGCTGCCTACATACTTTGTATCCATTCAGGTCACCATTGGTTGACCATGCCCAGAGCCCGCACTCCAAGCGACGAAGCGAATGAGAAAGAGGATTGCCCAAGGGAAGATATGTCTGGCGCGGTATTATGAACCTATTGGTCTCCTTCCTACCTACCTAGCCGCAGGGTGAAGTGACCGACCAGTCGCAAGCTCATGATCTCAGATAGTGCATGATTGTGGTGGAGACCCAAAGCTTTCGGCAGACTCGTTTGCTCAGTGAAGCTTCAAGTACCTCGTACATAAGTCACGGATGGAGAGATAAGAGTGTTGCCACCTGCGAGACTCGTCCATTTGGCATGCTAGCTAAGCCTCGCGGGGGCGCGCGGTTGGTCTTCTAGCCCCAAAAGAAGCGAAGGAGGATGAGACTGCATATCTTGAGACGACTAGACTAGTATGAGCGCCACAAAGGGGCATCGCGCCAGTGTTAAGGCCGGGGGGTGGGCAAGCAGGCAGATTTCACGGCCGGATGGATCGTGGACAGAGTATGGACTGTAGACAGATTCATGAAGACGAGCCCAAAGATTGATTTGAAGGATGAAGCAGTCGTCATGTAGTCAAAGTGGTGGACAGAGGTGCGAGACCGACACAGTCTTGGTGTTGTCAGAACAGGCACGTTCATGTCGACAAGGGAAGCGCCCGGAATGACAGGGTTAGGCACCCCCGGCACTAAACCGTAGCGGCTGTGGGGCGGGGAACTGCCTACCTAGAGTAGTAGGTAGTTCAGCAAGCTACTCGTTAGGTACCACTCAAGCGCCAAGCTATCCTCGAGGTGCCCTGTGGGAGACGGGGCTGCATCTTCACCAAAGCCCCTGCAGCGAGGCACACACCACACCACCCCACCCCTCCGTGGCGTAATCATATGTATGAACATTTTCTGTCGCAGCTTGGTGCATACCATCGACACAGACATACATGCATATCTACCTATTCAATCAAACGGACTAGTCATATCAACTCCAATCACAAAGTTCCATTCCCAATAAGTAAAACATTCCCGATAAGTAAAATCCCCGAAAGTCCAACGACGTGTTCGCGCTTCAACGCTCATCATTCTGTCTGCGTGGTTCAAAACCCCACAAAGACACGGATACGCTCGATCAGCATGGTAGTGCGCAAGCCGGTCTCTGGACAGCCGTCTGAAAGGGTTAACCTGGCAGCTGCGATAGTCACTTCGCCATCTCCATCTTCTTTAGAGGTAGCGGCAGCATCTCGTCTGATGTCCTCGTCCGCCACGCCCTCTTGGTCTGCCTCTCTCACGTCCTCCCAACCCTGGCCTTTCTGCCCCTCCTCTATTCTAGAAGTGGAGGAAGAGCCCGTCTTTGAACCTTTGCCTGAGCGGGCGGGGACGGGTCTCGGTGGTTTTGAAGGCGTCTCGGGGGGTGACGGAGTTTGATCCAAGTGTGACATTGTCTTCGGTGGGGCC